AAAGGATTCAATTTTGCCTCCTTTACAACAAGAAGATCAAGAAACCTTTAATCTTAGATTTGAGGCCACTATTTTAGAAGGTCTTTTATTCTTTAAGAATAAATAGTTTTAATTAAAAGTTAATTTTCTCCTTAAATTTTTAACTTGTATATTAATAATTTTTAATAATCTTAATCAATTTTTAATGAAATTAAAAAGAAAGTTATCATTACCTTTGACATTATAATTTTTTAGTCATAAACTTATTTAAAAAATACAAAAAAACTAAATATACTAATTTTTAAAAAATTTTAAATTTTGCACTTGTTTTTTATAAATATTGCAAATTTTTCAATTTGTTATTGTGACTGATTACAAAAGAACTTTAGATCCTCTTAGTCATTCGCTATCTTTATAATATATATAGGTGGTCGATATTTTTGAAACTAAAAAAGTAGCAAATAAATAACTTTTAATAAATTTTTTTATAAGAACAATAAGATTAATAGATATATTTAAGATTCTGGAAGATGTCATAAAGAAGTAAAAGAGATTGATAAGCATTTTTTTAAAAGAATTATACCAAATATTGCTTATTTAAATGCATTTAAGATTAAGTTTTAAAATGAGGATACATTAAAGAAATCATTTTTATTTTAAAAAAACAAGTAGAGCAGAAAGACCACCAAAACTAATTAAGTAAATGCAAATCAAAAAAAGAAAGATAAAATAGTTATATGAAATATTTTTATTTAATAAAACAATAAAAGGTAAATCATTACAATAAATAATATATAAAATGGTATTTTTTCAGTAAAATATTTTATTTTTATTTAATTTATTTCTTTATTCTTTGTAACTTCTATAAATTGAATACTTACATTAATTATTTAAGTGGTATTTAACAATATACTAATTGAAAATTAAGATTTTAAATATTATAAAATCTTAATTTTCAATTATTTATAAAACCAAATGAAGAAAAAAAATTTAATGATTATAAAGTATTCTTTTCTGTCTTATTGAATAAACAAAAGATTTATTAAGTAATTTAATTTATAATTTTTTAATCTTAGAATCCAAAGATTAAATAAGTTTTTAATAAAATATATTAAGTATCCTTTTTATATAAGTCAATAAAAATTAAAGATATTAAAACATAATTTAAAACAGTACATCAATATAATATTATTGCTATATCCTTAAGGATAGGCACCTGTAATTAGGAGATTTAAGTAAATAAACTTTAAAGATTGTTTAAAAGATTAATTAAGTTTTTATTCTGAGCGTAAAAAAACATAAGTCTATCCATTTTTTCTTTAAATACTAAATTAAATTGAAAAAAATAATCATTGAGGTTTGAACCTATGTGCTTTATGTTATAAATTTATATATAACAGTCATAAAAAGAGAAAGGTCAAATAAATTTATTTTAAGCTATAACCTTCACATAAACATGTATTTAAAGCAGTAAAAAAGATTTGCAACTCTAAATTATTTTATGTTCAGTCATAACAGAAAAAATTAAGAAATATAAAAAAAATTACTTTAATTTCTTATTTATTTACACTTAAATTAAGTTATATTGTTGTGTTTATAAAATATGATAAACCTAAAAAAAACCTTATAAATAAATTATAGATCATTTAAAAGAAATAAAACAATACTCCAAAGAACATTCATTAGGAAAAATGTAAAGATTTTAAAAAAAGTTTAGCAAAAATCTTAAGTTTTTTAAATGAAACTGATACAATTATAAACTTATTGGATTTATAAAATTTTAAATAAGAAATATTTAATAAAAGACTTTTTTGTAAAAAAGATTCTTTATTCATTTTTAATATTAAAAAAAATATAATAATTTATTATTTTATTTTAAAAATAATTTTTTATTTTTTACTTACTTTTAACAAAAAAAACATCAAAAAAGATTTTAAAAGATGAATTATTCTTAAGGAGATCTTCTTTGATAGCATAAAGCTACTGTTTAGGTAGATTCTGTTAAAAAATAATATAAATATAAAATTTTATACAAATTTATTTTAAGGATTAAAATATTGTGGTAATCTGTTGATTTGTGGTTTTATTAAATTTGTTTTTATTATTATTATTTGAATACATAAAGAAAAGAAGTCATTTATTTAATATATTCCTTTTATCTAGATTTTTTTCTAGAAAAATCTTAGGGTTACAATAATATGTATTTTTTAAAAAAAATTGTAATAAAAATAAATTATTATTTTTTATATTTTTATATTTAATTAAAAAATAATAATTTATTTTTTACCAAATTATAGATTTAATAACTAATTAAATTAATAAATCCTAAATNTTTTTAAATTACACATTTAATTATTAAATAATAAAAGAATATCATGAATTCTCTTATTAGCTAAGAAACATTCTTGAATTATTTTCTTTTCCTTAGGGAATTTCTCATCAAAAAAAGAAGGAAACTTATTTTTTAAAACATCTTCAAAAAAATGAAATTTCTCATTTACCGTAAGGAAAGGAACAAGCATTTCCAAATAAAGCTCTCCTAACATTTTTATATCCTTTCTTTCACAAGGAAAATCTCCAAAAAATGAATCACTGTAATCACCTAATTTAGGTACAAAATTTTCAATAAAAAAAATATTTTTTGAGACAACGTCACCATGAATTATTTTACATGAATGTAAAGCAGCAACACCATGAAAAATACCATACATTATTTCTTTAATAAAATTAGAGTTGACTTCTTTACCAATCAAAGATTCTTTTACCATTTCATTTAAAAGTTCATCTTTAATTTCATGGTTATTGAACAAATACTCATTTCTTGCGCAAATAAAGTCATTTAAAGTAAAATTACACCAACGGGTAATCAAGTAATGGTAAAATTTTGTACCAAGGTCGTGTCTTAAGATGTAATTTTCACATGTTTTTGCTATTTTGAAAGAAGGTTTCCTTTTCTTTTTTTGTAATCGTACATTATTTTCATTTTCTTCGTCAATTTGTATTGAAATTTCTTCGTTAGGATCATAAATACTTTCATTAAATTTAGCGCAGAATTGAATTTGTTTATCAACTGAATCATTGGTTAATGTTGAATTGGGCCTATTCCAATATTTTGCATTGATACCGTAATTTTTTAAAATTTCTTTGTTAACATTTGACTTACTTTCTTTCAAGCGAAACTTTTTTACTTCTTCAATCTTGGTAGAAACAACAATACTCATGTATCCCATAAGGTTGGGATGCTGTAAATCCATGCTACCTAAACTTCTCTCAGAAATAATTGATAAAATGTCCTCCTTAAACTCTAAGAACACTTCTTTTAGCACATAATATCTTCTACTCTTTTTGTGCTGTAATTTGTACACATTTGACATTGCTTCTTTGTTGATAAACCCAACAAACTCAAAAGCGGAAAAAAGTTTCTCGTAATTTTCCATGGGGTTTCTTTAAAATTTTCTTAAATATTTTTTTTTGATAGATTTTTTCTTTTTCAAAAATTATTTTCCTAAATTATAAAATTTTATTCCCAATTTAACAAATTAAAATCAATTTTACAATTTAAGAAATAGCATTTCCTTCTTTTAGATTCGAGTATTAAAATAGTAAATTTATTTATTTAATTTATTTTTTATTAATTTGATCAATTTATTAAAAGTAATTTATCCTTTTAAAAAATATTTTATCAATTTTAAATAATTTTTTATATTTTTAGAATTGTTCTCTTTTTATAAAAAATTTAATTAAAAAAAGATTTTTTAAATATCCAAAAATTTTCACATAAATCTTTTTTATTAAACAATTAAACAAAAATAGATTTTAATTTAATTTAATAATATTTTTATTTTTAATAATCTTTAAAAATATTTAATTTAGAAAAATAAAATTTTTTATGATAAATGAGTAAATTACATCACAATTTAAAGATTAAAAATATATTTTGCTAAATTAAATTTTTTTAAAGATTATTATTATATTTTGCATTAATGTTAATTTTTGATAATATTTCTTTTTTTATTATGTCAAAGATAGTTTTTATTTAAATCTATTATTAAGAAAAAAACAAATAAATAAAATAAATAAAATTATTTAACATTTTAATAAAAATAATTTATTATTTAATAAAAAAATAGATTTAAAATAAATTATAAATAAAAAATTATTTATTTATTCATAATTTTCTAATTCTTTGGTAAATAATTTTTGAAATTCTTTTGTTTGCATGAATTCTTCTACTCTTTTATTTCTTTCTTCTACTTTCTTATTATTACTTTGTATTACTCCAAGAACCTTATTCTTCAATTTTTCTGTAATATCAGCATATTTCCATCCAAAACAAGAAAGTAACTCTCCTAAAGTAGAACTCTTTCTAATAGGATTAGCCTTATATTCCAATAATGCTTCAGGACAGACACTTATTTCTTTATCCACAAATTCTTCAGGAAAACCATCAAAAACNGTCAAATTTTTAAAAGCATTGTTTCCTCTCTTGATTTTATGAGGTAACATTCCTTTTTTAGTGATTCTCATAAAATACTTAGATGGTTGATTGTAGTGGAAAGGTCCTTTTCTTGGATTTACAATGCATCTTTTGTCAAGNAAATACTTGTAAGAAAGCTTTCTTCTGTGAATTGGTCCTGTAAGTTTNATAGCTTCAGCACACAAGACTGTAACCTTCTTTCCTTCTAATAATTTCTTAGCTATAACTGAGCCTAATCTTCCAGCAATATGGTTTGTACCATCAATGATTATTTCTTCAGGGTGCATGGGTAAAATTTTTTAATTTTTTTAAAATATTAAATAAAAATAATTTAAAAAATAAATTTAAATAAAAATAAACAATGCAAAAAATAAATTTAATTAAAAATAAATAATATAAAAAATAATTTATTTAAAAGTAAATAATGTAAAAAAAATATCAAATAAATTAAAGGATTATAATATTATTTTTTAAGTTTAAAAAAAAATAAAAACATTTTTTACTATAACCCTTTAAATATATAAATAAATAAAAACTGAACCCCTAGGAATATGATGATTAAAACTGGAATTACCAAATGACCAGTGATTACACTTTACATCTGATTCCTTTATAAAAAGCATATGATGATAAAATCACGACGGTCGTCTGACCATGATGATATCTTTTATCTGATGCACAATTTTAAAAATAAAAAAAAAATTTAATTTGTAAATTTATTGTAAATGACAAATGCCACTTTGTAATCCTCTTTTCCTTCTAGTTCATGCAACTTTAAAAATAAATATTCTTCGTTTTTAAATAAACAAATTTTATAAAAAAAATAATTAAATAAATTATATTTTTTGATAACTAAATTTTCTTCTTTTTCTAAGTTTATTTCTTTTAAAAAAGGAGTGTTTTGCATAAACAGAATGAGGAACATACTTGATAAGCCATGGTTACTAAAGTTTATGTGCTCATTTGTTAAGTAAGTGTCTAAAGAATGCTGTATGTCTTGTTGGTATATCAATTCAGGTGGCATTTTAACAATTATGCTTGATGTATCATTCACTCCTCTGACAAAAAGACTAACAAGCACGTCAGTATTTTTCGTGTTCATCAGTTCAAACAGCATAAACTGAAATGACTCAATGCATAAACAATGAAAATACCCTTTTTTTACCATCATATTCACTAAAAATTTAGTATTTATTTCTGTATTGTTTATGGTAACTTCTTTTATTAACTCTTTTAATTGGTTAGCTAGTTTGTTTAAAGTGTTATGTTCTATTATTTTGTCATTTTCATAAACTGTGTTATTATTTTGAATATATAGTTTTGTTTTTAAAAGGTAAATGAAAAATAAAAAAAAGCAAATTAGTAAGCTTAGTGTTACTGTTAATATTTCTAGTAGCATAAAGTGAATAGAAATTTGTTTATAAATTAAGGAGTGTGTGTTTTATTGGTTCATTAAAAATTAATTAAAAATGATATTTATTGAAAAAATTAACTTTTAGTATTTAAAAAATAAGTAATATAAATTAGAATAATTTATTATAAAAAATTTTTTTAAAAATTATAAAACATAAGAAAAATTCAAAACTTATTTAATTTTCAGTAAATTTAAAAATAATTAAAAAAAATTTAAAAATTACTTAAAATGAATTTAAAAAATAAATTAAAATATTTTTATAATTAAATAAAAAATATTATTTTGAAAATAAATTAAAATGAATTTACAAAATAACATGAAAATTTTTATTTTAAAAAATAAATAAAATATTAAAAAATTGTTTTTTAAAACACATTTTAATTGGCTAATTTACACTCTCCTTTTTTCCTTTTAAGGAAATATATAATACCACTATGTACCTGAAAATCACACTTATAGCCTCCATATCCATACTCATCATATCATATATCTACTATCTCAAAAAAAGAAAAAGAAACATAGACAACAATAACGCATTCATTTTTCCATTAAAATTTGTGGATGGAGTGCCAATAACCCAAAACATATTTGATTTATATTTAAAAAATACAATTTCGCTTGTAAAAAAATGTTTAGCATACTCAAAAAAAGAATGTGATCTCTTAAATGACCCTTCTTTTATCAAAGAAATTTTAGATAACACTTCGTATACCCCATTACAAACAGAGAGTGGTCCTAGTATTTTATTAAAATCACTTTGTTACACTTTATGTAAAAAAGAAGGGTTAGAATTCAATTCACCACTAACCAAAGTATCCCACATAGCTTCACAATTATTCCTTACAGAAAAATCCAACCAAATGTACGCAACACCTTTCACACAAATATTTTTTAAAACAAATATTACCACCGAATTGAAAGATAAAAATATTTTGATGGCAAATTTTATCATAATTTTTAAAAATCCTATTTTTTTGAAAGATGTAAATTTTTTGGATGAGAAAAACACAGTTTTTTTGAATTATTTTCTTTGTTCTGTGTTTGTTTATAAGCCTAATAAGGTTTATGATTGGTTGTATTTTAAGGAGAAGTGGTTTTCATCTGATAATGTTTGTAGAGAGTTAAAAGAATATGAGGATTGCTTTATAGGATTTTGTGTTTTTGGTCGAGGATGAAAATAAATTTTAATTTTTTATTTCTAAATTTTTAGAAATTAATTTATCTCATAGATAATTTTATCTTTTAAGGCAACAAATCTTTTTATCTCTTTCTTTAGCAAATATGCTTATTTTTTGAAAAAACAAAGATTTTGAACAGGTCTTTATTCTAAAATTCTTGCTTTAATGTTTTTTGTTATATTTCTTGATTTGGAATTTTTCTCTGAT